CTCTACACCTGCACACTCTACACCTGCACACTCTACACCTGCACACTCTACACCTGCACACTCTACACCTGCACACTCTACACCTGCACACTCTACACCTGCACACTCTACGCCTGCACACTCTACGCCTGCACACTCTACACCTGCACACTCTACACCTGCACACTCTACACCTCGCCTCCCTCTCTCTTCCGCTCTACCAATAGTTCTTCCTCCTCTAGCGGCACTCAAGCCTCCCCTTAAAACTACACATCCTGTTATCCCCCTCGCTTGTTCCCCTCAATGACCCCATCTCTCGCCATTTTACCCCCCATACACCCAACCTTTCCATCCCCACTCACGCCCCTCTCTCGTCCCACTCACGTCCCCCTCGTCCCACTCCCCTCCCCCCACTCACCGCTGAACCCCAGGAAGCCCTGTGCCCGGGACGTGTCGTCGAAGGGACCGATGAAGGCCCCGATGATGAAGTCGATCTGAGACGCGATCAGCAGGAAGAGGAGACCCATCTGCACCTGTGGGGGCATGGGGGATGAGGGGTGATCATGGGGGATGAGGACGGTCATAGGGATGCTGTACTTTGATCACCCAACACTCACCCTGGTCACCCAACACTCACCCTGGTCGCCCAGCACTCACCCTGGTCACCCAACACTCACCCTGGTCACCCAACACTCACCCTAGTCACCCAACACTCACCCTGGTCACCCAACACTCACCCTGGTCACCCAACACTCACCCTGGTCACCCAGTCCATGCCGACGATGGCGAGGGCCATGAGGGCGAACAGGACGCCCGTGCCCACGGCGCGCACGTCGTTGAGGTCGCGGTCGATGATCACCGTCTCGTCGAAGTCGTAGTACAACATGTCCTGTGGAGGGGAGGGGGGGAACATGTTAACAACTGCATGTTACAACATGTCCTGGGGGGAGAACATGTTACAACATGTCCTGGTGGGGGAACATGTTGCAACATGTGCTGGGAGGGTGATGGGGGGAAACATGTTGAAACATGAACTGCATATTACAACATGTCCACGGAGAAAGAGACAAACATGTAAACAACTGCATTGTGATGTTGTGTGTAGGCTGCAAATTCCCTACTTGCATTCAGACCGGAGAGATCAAGTATACCGGCGCTGATGTAGGCCGAGGCTGGTACTAGTAGCTGTTGTCAATCCCGACTTGCGTACTGGTGCCTCGCTTACAGGGGATTACCTGACAATCGCCTAGGACCAAGAGCTTTGTTCCTCAGCTAACTCGCTCTCTCTCTCCTCCGCGTCTTAGCTCCGTAGTAGGCTACTTATTGAACTTGTTAGGTAATAAACTTTGAGGAACTTGCCTTTGATCATAAATCCCGTCACGCCTTCAGCACTGCTTCGCAGCCAATTGGGCAGCTGTTTATCTATTCAGCTTCCGGTCATTGGTAGGTGAGACAAGTATGGTCAATGCGAACCGTTAGGTGCACATGAGGTTACCGGTTGTTTGGCCGGTTTATTACACGCATGTTACATGTCCATGGGGAAGTGTTCAGCAAACGCGTCAACAACCGCGTGTTGTTACACGATTGCAGATAAGCAGTGTAAAAGAACGAACTGCGAGTATACCGCACAGTATCACAGGCAAGAAGTAGAAGTGGTGATAGTGTAGAAGAACACACGAGATGTTGCGATCAGGTAATGCGTAGACGCAGCTGTGCATTTTTAGTAGCCAAGCAGGGGTTTTCATTGTCCTGTGTATATCTCATTCTACAAGTATATCTCGTACAACCGAGGAGATGCAGGCATAGGTCCCGCACGACGCATCAGAGGTAAGGTGAATTACCACTGAGCATCATGCCAATCCATGTAAGACGATGGCGTTGCATTAATCTTAAGTAATTAATTCGTGGATAAGTGATCAGGAATATACGTACATAGTATGACGCAAAGTCGGGGAGCGAAGAAAAGTTTGCCTACTCAGCGCGGTAGGCTCGATGGAGGGCCGCACATTGTGTTAAGGCCACGCGGTAAAAAGTGTTCATCTTGTGCGAACCAACGGCAGAGATTTCGTTAGGAATCTATACTCCATAGAGCATTGAAGTAACGAGTCCTGACGGGCGAGCGAAGCACAAGTTAAGGATGGAGCCATAATGTACAGGGACTCTTAATAAGTGAGATTACCACCAGAGAAAACCCCAACACGCGTAAAAAATACGTGCTTCGGAAGTGTAAGCAACAAACTAAAGAGATGCTCGCGATGTCAGCAGCAACCACAGATAAATACATGGTTCTTCTCAGAGCGACAAGACCGCCACCAGCCGAGAGTGAAGTCTTCAGAAGTGAATTCTTCAGTAGAAGACTGAGAAGTCTTCAGTTCAAGACCTGCAGCAGCCCAGGAATACAAACCCCCCTGACACTTAGCAAACCCAAAAGCCACCGAGTAAGCAGTACGCCTCAGCAGCAACACGTATTTATAAGCCGGGGAGCCCCGCTAATGAAGAAGTACCACCAGTGCCACAGTTATGCGAAGTCACCATGTTTCTAGGACATCTTTTCAGTATTATCTATGTTTGCCATTTCAATAGAAATTTTCTGACTGTTCTAGGGACGAATTTCTATAATACATAATATCTGTGTTTGCCGATTCAATAGAAATGTTTTGATCTGCAGTCGTGTTTTATTCCACCTTCAGTTATCTTCCCGGTTCACCGCATTGTTAGAAAATCATTTTTTCGCGTCGCGTTAGACCGCACTCATAGCCACGGTACATGAACAAAGGAGTCGGCCAATCGACCAGAGTCTTGATTGCTGTACTCAAATGGTACCAAGGAAAATTCAAACTACCCCTATTCAACGGGTATCAGTTATGACGTGTTGTATTCAACACAAAATTAAGATGACTCCAACCCTAAGATTCGCTGCTAGGGAATAGAATTAATGTAAACAGATCAGATTATCATTACTATTACCACGCTTCTTTTTAACCTCACTTCTAGTTCTTTGTTCGTTTGTCTGCTACAAATCTTATAATCGATAGTTAACACATTCTACCAGTCCAATCGATCTGAAATTTTGCACACTTGCGTACAGTTGGAGACAATGCATGGATCAATTGACAGAATAAAAAAAAAATAATTGAAAAAATATAAAAATATTGTTTTAAATATTTAAAAATGAAATAAGAAGTTCATTGTACATGAGTAACATCGGAGACACTGGCACCTTTAGAAGTGTGGTCTTTAAAAAGTAATTTTTAAACGCATTTTATTTTTAGCGTTACAATTTTTCCATTCTGAATTAGAGCTTTCCGTACTTTAGTTTTTTTAAACATCCGGGCTTCATTCATTGATGTTATATAGTATAGCTGAAGTGGACTACACAGCACAACGCATTGTACATACTTGTTTGAAATACATGCGCGGAACTCGATGTCTTATATACGTACTAAACCTGCAAGAAGGCGCTCGAGTTGCCACAGACGCAGTCCCAAGCAACGTGATATTTCTGGAACCCATCACCAGCTGGAAGTGCACCCAATGGTCCCATCACCATTAGGACATGAACTCTCTGCACCCATCACCATCAGGGCATAGGCCTCCTGTAGGTGCTCCCTCTTACCATGCACCCTCTTGACGTGCCCTCACCTGCAGGCTGTTGACGAAGCCGATGATGTAGGTGGCGACGGCGATGGAGTTGGCGACGGTGAACATGAGGCCGATGGAGCCACCAAACTCAGGACCCAGCGACCGGGAGATCATGTAGTACACGCCCCCTGCTCACCAGTCACAAATATATGTACAACTTAAGGCAACTCTTGGTACAGGAATTAGAGACATTGCAAAGTATAGAGATATTTCGATGCGAGAAGGGAACATATAAATGGGGTACAAGACTTGGAATTATTACACTTAACTAAATTCATATAAGTAATTTTAACAATTATATTAATTATTTGAACATAAGTTTGCACTTGGTAGCTTCAGACTTCTAAAATTTCTGTAATCATATTATAAAATTGTAGGAACCGTCAGCCCGGTTCCAGCAATCATCAGCCGCTATTATAATTGAGAATTTAATGGACTTTTCCTCCTGCGCGCTCGCAACTCTGAGAAAACATCGCTTCTATTTGAAGTATTTTAAGCCACCACTCACAGTCTTACGCCGGACCTTTTTCTTGTACCCCAGCATCTGTCAGTGTGCATATTCTTATGTTGAAGCTTCTGGTAACTAGAGTTAAAACCTCAGCAAACAGAACGTTAAAGTGATCAAACTTTAGTCGATATCTACGAGGAAAGAAATATCACGCCTTGTAGCGTGGCTTGGTTCCAGCTTGATCTATCCTTTAGGAATTAAATGCCGAGTGAGGCTCGAAAGTATTTGTCCGGTCTAGTACATTAGGAGGCAATTAGCACTTGTATTCAAGGTGATACAACCAACGTCTGGAGTGTTAGGAGAGTTAGAACGGTAGAGTCATTGTTGAACTATATAAGGTTGACCCACGAGGACATCCGTCTTTCAGTTTAGCTTTCTTGTTACGTCACGTATATAGATCGAGAAACGTAAACAAACCCGTCATTCCCATGACGGATTGGTTGACAGGTGTGATCACATTTCGGTAATTGGTTAATGCCCGTGACGTGATTGAGATCAGTGACGTCACATGCGAACAACAAGCTCCATCCGCGAAAATGAGCTTCTCATGAGTCAACCTTATACTAGTTCAACCATGGGTAGAGTGCCAACTCAGAGACTGCAGTAAACAGCAACCGACAGCGCGGCCAAAACGAAGTTTGGTTGAGTGACGGGGAACAACCAAGTTTGGTTTAGTATAGTAATGAAGATGAATGAAGTAAGATAAAGTAAACAAGAGTAACCAAGTTCGGTTGAATGGAGGAAAGTACGAAAACCAAACGACTCGCTCAATCCGCGCCTCTGATCAATGTCTTCTGGTGAAGTAATTAGAGTGGTTTGACAAAATATTTTTCAAATTTAGAATTTGGTCGAATTATCTTTATCGGCACTAGCAATTTTGCTCGTGTTGGGATGCGAGCATGTTTACTAGTTCAATCCTAAATGTAAGAGCAACCCTCTCATTGCCGTGGCCCTCATCATACCACAACAGGAGACAAATAAATACATGGCGCCAACGAACGCTACAATATATCGCAGTGTCACTATAGGATGACATGAAACATTTTATGTCCAAACTGAGCCACTGACCGCCCTGGATGAGACCGTTGGTGGCCACGGCGGACATGGAGATGGCCGTGATGACGGTCACGGTGTTGGCCGCACACACAATGGCCAGCGCCTGGCCTGTGTACACCAATTCTTCAGTTTAGTGACCGTACTTAGTTATTGACCGTTACTTAGTGACCGTACTTAGCTACTGACCGTAACTCAGTTAGTGACCATACTTAGCTATTGACCGTTACTTAGTTAGTGACCGTAACTTAGTTAGTGACCGTACTTAGCTACTGACCGTAACTTAGTTAGTGACCATACTTAGCTACTGACCGTTACTTAGTTAGGACCGTAACTTAGTTAGTGACCATACTTAGCTACTGACCGTTACTTAGTTAGTGACCGTAACTTAGTTAGTGACCATACTTAGCTACTGACCGTTACTTAGTTAGTGACCGTAACTTAGTTAGTGACCATACTTAGCTATTGACCGTTACTTAGTGGCCGTACTTAGCTACTGACCGAAACTTAGTTATTGACCGTAATTTAGCTATTGACCGCTACTTAGTCTGTCTCTTATACACATCTAGATGTGTATAAGAGACAGGCGTTAGACCGCACTCATAGCCACGGTACATGAACAAAGGAGTCGGCCAATCGACCAGAGTCTTGATTGCTGTACTCAAATGGTACCAAGGAAAATTCAAACTACCCCTATTCAACGGGTATCAGTTATGACGTGTTGTATTCAACACAAANGAGCACACTGCAGTAACTGGACACTAGAGAGCACACTGCAGTAACTGGTCACTAGTGAGCACACTGCAGTAACTGGACACTAGAGAGCACACTGCAGTAACTGGTCACTAGTGAGCACTAACTGAAGATGCATTAATATCAACTGACCAAGTCCAGCCTGCCCGACCATCCAGGAGACTCTCAGGAACAACATCACGCCCCAGATGTTGAGCAGACATCGCATCTGTAACATTCAAGCAACACCTGAGGAACATTGATGAGCAAACATGCAAGCGAATAATGTGGTTAGAACAAGAAAATATATAACTTAGCTTTAGATTTTCAACAATCTAAGAAAGAAGTACTAATTTCTCTCAATTGCTTGAATCGAAATTTCAATAGTAAACTAAAATCAAAGAAAATTCCTCAAAAATTATCATGCCTTTATAGAAAACGTTTCGGAGTTCAGCTCCATCGTCAGTTTGAAAATCCTACAAGACAGATAGGTACAATCTGAAGTTAGAACAGTCGAAATTAAAAAAAAAAACTATATTAAAAGCGTCTCACGTGGTGTTAACCAAATCAATTAACTCATGTCGAAGCTATAAATTGAGGTTGCTCCCGAGCGCGATAGAAGGAACTTTGTTTATTGTTCATTTCCATACTTCAGCCCTGTTTCCGAAACCATGTCTAGAGAAATAAAATGTTTGTAGCTGAAATCTTCCCAATTGCTAGCCTTGTTTGAAGGCAAACAATTTTAAAATCGGTTCTTTCTTTAGGGTGCAGAAATATTCTCCCTATTTATTTGTAATTGTATCCACTTTATACATACAGTAATCCGCGATGCGCATCTGTATACCTCGGTATAACGTCACCTTGATTCTAGGATCGCAGAGCATAAAGGGAGGAGCTGTAGGACTGGCCACTTATTATCGTGTCTCCCTCATTCGGCTGTGAGCACTCATGCCGAGCAGTAAGACGTTCCTATCTCTGATGGTGACTAAGATTTTACCTTCCACTTCCGATGCTTCCGACTGGCGTATTTTAGAATCATGGTATGTTTATAAACAGAGGCCTAGACCGGATTAAGCTTCTAGCTATTATCCACTTGAAATTATGAATAAAGAGGTACAGCTGGTTTACTTTTGCTTTGAATTTTATTGTTGAATTAAAATTTAAATTTAATTTCTTCCCTTTTTTTCAATTTTGACTGTACCAACTATACTGATTGTATACCTGCATTCTGGTCCCCTAGCGTGCCACTCACTAGCACCCCGTCTAGCATCCCCCACCCCCCACTCACTAGCACCCCGTCCA